GATGATGATGATCATTCAGCAGTCAGTGGTGAGTGGACAGTGTTTGTTTAGTTCTTTTTATTCACACTTTTCTTTCTGCAGAATCTCAGCAAAACACCGAACCAGTAGTTAACCGTAGCTCGAGCAGTGCATCAGGTGAACAACAGCTGAATGGTCGTCGAAGAAGATCTAAAACCCACAAGTGTCAGCAGTGCGGCAAAAGCTTTCCATCTGCATATAAACTCAAACGACACCAACTTGTTCATACTGGCATACGGGCTCACCAGTGTACGACTTGCTCCAAATCATTTGGGCTAAAGGATCATCTTAAATTACACCAGCTTATTCACACTGGCATTAAAGCGCACAAATGCTCAACATGCTCCACATCATTTGGGCAAAAGGGTGATCTCAAACGACATCAGCTGGTGCACACTAGAATACGAGATTACAAGTGCACAACATGCTCCAAATCATTTGGGCTAAAGAGTAATCTCACGAGGCACCAACTACTTCACACTGGCATTAAAGCGCACAAGTGTACAGTTTGCTCTAAAACATTTGCGCAAAAGGGTAATCTCACTGAACACCAATCAGTTCACAGCGACTTTCGACCATTTCAGTGCCACATTTGTGAGAAAACGTTTAGATTGAAAAAGAAACTCAAAGAACATCGTCAAAGTGTACATCAGCAGTAACACTTCTAAAACCGTTTTTATTCATCAGTCTTTCTTTCCATTCCCTGTCATTCAATAATTCATTAAAAATAAAAACAATTCGGTTACAAACTTATTGATGATCTGTTGTGCCATTGAAACCTGAGAACCCTGTCAGTTTCCCCATCCCCCAATTGCCCATCGCATACTTTGCACTGACCAGTCTAGCTCTATTGCCCTGGGGACCTGGGGAACACTGTGGGCAGAGACAGAGACAGTGAAAAAGTGTGCTCGCTCATTAGTGCTTGTTTTGTTTTCATTTTAGTAGCCCTCCTCGTCTTCTGCTGAGCCAGTCTTGATACCATTTAAAAGAAAATGCCTGAAACTGAAAAGCTTTCTGAAACTTATGATATGTACGACGAATTTGACTGTGGAGAAGGTGAAAATGAGGAAGTACAAGTGAAAGAGGAGGAAGAAGATTCAGAAACTGATTTTAATGCTGCGAAAAGTGTTGATCAGTCAGCAGGCAATGGTAAGTGAATTGATTGTCTTGCATTTTACTTATTTTACTTTTATGCAGAATCCCAGTCAGCTGAAACAGTGGTGAAAACTGAAGATCAGAATGAATTTCAAATTGACATGTTCGATGATGAGTTTCGTGCGATTATGGAACAGGATTTTTCTGCTGAAACAAATGCCAATGGAACAAACGATGCAGTCAACGAAGAACAAGAGACGGATTCAGATGCCACTGAATTTGATGAGGATGATCATGCAGCAGTCAGTGGTGAGTGGATAGTGTATGTTTGGTTATTTTTATTTACACTTTTTATTCTGCAGAACCTCAGCAAAACACCGAACCAGTGGTTAATCGTAGCTCGAGCAGTGCATCAGGTGAACGACAGCTGAATCGTCGTCGAAAAAAGGCTAAAAACCACAAGTGTCAGCAGTGCGACAAAAGCTTTGATCGTCCATTTAGTCTTAAACAACACCAGCTGGTGCACACTGGCATACGAGCTTACAAGTGCACTACATGCCCCAAATCATTTGGGCGAAAGGATCATCTTAAATTACACCAGCTTATTCACACTGGCATTAAAGCGCACAAGTGCACAGTTTGCACTAAATCGTTTGTGCAAAAGGGTGATCTTAAGAAACACCAAGCAGTTCACAGCGACTCTCGACCGTTTCAGTGCTCCATTTGTGAGCGAAGACTTAAATCGAAACTGATTCTCAAAAGGCATTTTCAAAAAGTGCATCAACAGTAGCACTTTCACTGACGTCTTTATTCAGCAGTCTTTCTTTCCATTCCCTGTCTTTTGCTGTCATTCAAAATTTCATTAAAAATAAAAACAATTCGGTTACAAACTTATTGATGATCTGTTGTGCCATTGAAAACTGGGAACCTTGTCAGTTTCCCCATCCCCCAATTGCCCATAGCATACTTTGCACTGACCAATCTAGCTCTATTGCCCTGGGGCCCTGGGGAGCATTGTGGGCAGAGACAGAGACAGTGTGCTCGCTCATTAGTGCTTGTTGGGTTTTCATTTTAGTAGCCCTCCTAGTCTTTTTCTGCTGAGCCAGTCTTGATACCACTTAAAAGAAAATGCCTGAAACTGAAAAGCTCTCTGAAACTTATGATATGTACGATGAGTTTGACTGTGAAGAAGGTGAAAATGAGGAAGTACAAGTGAAAGAGGAGGAAGAAGATTCAGAAACTGATTTTGATGCTGCGGAAAGTGTTGATCAGTCAGCAGGCAATGGTAAGTGAATTGATTATCTTACATTTTACTCATTTTACTTTTATTCAGAATCCCAGTCAGCTGAACCAGTGGTGAAAACTGAAGATCAAAATGAATTTCAAATTGACATGTTCGATGATGAGTTTCATTTGATTATGGAACAGGATTTTTTTGCTGAAACAAATGCCAATGGAACAAACGATGCAGTCAACGAAGAACAAGAGACGGATTCAGATGCCACTGAATTTGATGATGATGATCATTCAGCAGTCAGTGGAGAGTGGACAGTGTTTGTTTGGTTTTTTTTATTCACACATTTCATTCTGCAGAATCTCAGCAAGCTGAACCAGTGATCACCCGTAGCTCGAGCAGTGCATCAGGCGAACAGCTGAATGGTCGTCGAAGAAAAGCTAAAATCCACAAGTGTCAGCAGTGCGGCAAAAGCTTTCCATCTGCATATCTTCTCAAACGACACCAAGTAGTGCACACTGGCATTAAAGCGCACAAGTGCACGACTTGCTCCAAATCTTTTGGACGAAAGGATGATGTCAAACAACACCAGCTTGTTCACACTGGCATTAAAGCGCACAAGTGTACAGTTTGCTCAAAAACATTTGCGCAAAAGGGTAATCTCAATCAACACCAATCAGTTCACAGCGACTCTTGACCGTTTCAGTGCCACATTTGTGAGAAAACGTTTAGATTGAAACAGAAACTCAAAGAACATCGTCAAAGAGTACATCAGCAGTAACACTTCTAAAACCGTCTTTATTCAGCAGTCTCTCTCTCTCTCTCTCTATTTCCATACCCTTTTCTTTTCTCGCTGTCACTCACCTGTAAATAAATAATTTAAAACTAACAGCCTGGCTATCAACTTAACCATCTTCTGCAATTGAGCCAACGGCCTATTCAGCGAGGATTTATGCTTAGGGGTGCAAGAGAAAAACAAAAAAGAACTCAGAATCTTTTTGGACAGAAGTCTTATGGTGCAAAGGTGTACAAAAAAGAAACCTCTTGGTCTGGAACACCTGAAAAAACCCAAAAAAGGCTTAACATTAATTTTTTCAACAAAATCGAAACCGGAAGTAAAAAGTTTAAAAAAGAAGTTCTTCTTCCGGAATAACTAAAATTTTTTAAATGCAAAAATTAAACTTTTTGTATGTAAAAGCTATTTACTAAATGTCTAAAAAACAATGAAACATTTTTTATACTAATTTAAAAGCACTGTTAAAATTAATAAAATTAAACTTTTTAATCAATTTTATTTAATTTAATTTTTAACTGTTAAATTGTTATCAAAACTTAACCAATTTATTTTTGTTAAATAGAAGCACTTTTCTAGTTAATTTTACTAGTTAAATTTTGCTCAAAACTGTTTAAATTTTTTTTGTACGATTTTTGTAAAAAAAACTTCTTTTGACCGGAACCGGAAACTTTGAAGCAAGAAAAAATAAACGAAAATAGCCATTTTACTCAGCTCAGTCTTACCTTTCTAACCATATTATATTTAGCAATATCTTTAACAAAAAAATTAAAAAAAATTAAAAAAAATGAAAAAAAAAATTGAAAAAATTGATTTTTTAAGTCCCGGGTGGACTAAAAAGAATCCTGGTACTCTGGAACACCTAGAAATGACCCAAAAAAGCCAAAAAGAGTGGGGACAAAGGAGAATTGAACTCCTGACCTCTCGCAGTTCCAGAAGGTACCCGAAGCGAGAATCATACCACTAGACCATTGTCCCGTCACCGCTGAGGGAGAAAAGCGCCAGCGCAACCTTAAATTAAGCGATTTTTTGCTGATCACTGCTGTTTTTGTTGCCAAGTTGTTTTGGTGGTCCGGCAGATGTCTCGGTAAATGGGAAAACCGCCACTTTAATTTATTAATTTAAAAAATTTTTGGGTTTTTGAACAAAAAGTTAAATTTTAAATATTTTTTTTATTTTATAAAAAAATGTGCACATTTATTTTTTTGCAACGCCCACAAATTGGTCAATTCCTGTAGTAAATGTTTCCCACCCAAAACAAAAATCATATCTCTAGACTGAGCCACGATCGCTAAGGGAGCAGGCGCCAGTGCACTGCAGAGCACTGGCACTATGTGCAGCAGCTGCGCCTACACCTCTTAAAAAATAATATTTGTCCGGTTTTTTCGGCAGATGGTCCCTATATGGGAAGAAAAAGAAAAAATTACTTTAATTAACTGATTTAAAAATTTTTTGTTTAGTAATAAAAATTTTAGTTTTTTATAATTTTTTAATATAAAACTGATGTGCACATATTTTCGTTAACCTTCACAGATAGGTCAGTTTTTGTTTGAGGAGTTCTAGAGCAATCAAAATAATAAATGTTTTGCACCCAATGCCAAAATCATACCTCTAGACCTCTTGACAATTTTACCTTTTAAATGAATATTTTTTCAGATTTTTCCGAATTCCATCCAAAGTGTTGTCCCTTTGTGAGGCACAACCACCTGCTACAGCGCTCCGTTCCCCTCTTAGCACTAGAGTGCGCCTTTCTGCCGCTTTGTCACTAGCCACCACCAACACCGGCTAAATACCCACCGAAATCACCTGCTTGTCTTCCAGATAACGCTAGTGAAGCGTCCTCGTTTTCTGGTCAAAACCAACGCTTTTTCAGCACAACATCAGTACAACGATCACCTGAACCGTCTAAAGCTGTCACCACTGGAACGTCTTCTGTGGACACCGAAAAGCACATGAGAACATTTTTTTTGCCGCAAAACTGTTTGTTTTGAAGAACAACAAACACGGCGACAAGCCTGAAGTTTCATTTCACTTTTAGCTCCTCTCAATCATCATCAAAACTTCTTTTTCACCAACACCAACCTGAATCCCACCATGACACCGCCTGCGACACCACTGAAGGTTCTGGTCGTCGGCAATGTCTTCGGCAAGTTCGCCAAGCTCTTCAAGCGCGTCGCTGACGTGAACGCCAAAGCGGGCCCCTTTGACTTGCTGCTCTGTGTGGGCGACTTCTTCGGCCAGGACGTCGCCGCGTACACCGGACTGATCACCGGCGCCGTCCCGCTGCCCAATGTGCCCACCTACTTGCTGGGCAAGATACCGGCGCCAATTCGAAGCATGCACCCTGAAGTGGAGAACTTTGACCACGGTTTCGAGGTGACGGAGGGCATCACCTTTCTGGGCCGCTCCGGCATCCTCACCACTAGTCAAGGCCTGCGGATTGCCTACCTCAACGGGCAGCATCGAGAGGAGTCGGCGAGTGGTGGTGCCGGAGACGAGAGCCTGGAGTACTTCACNAAGGCCTGCGGATTGCCTACCTCAACGGGCAGCATCGAGAGGAGTCGGCGAGTGGTGGTGCCGGAGACGAGAGCCTGGAGTACTTCACCACAAAGGACTACGAGTCGCTGCTGATGTCGCAGCGAAGTTCGGCTGCAGTTTTGGACATTCTACTCACCTGTCAGTGGCCGCAGGACGTTTTCCGGTACACCAACACCGAGGAGGCGGTAGTCGAGCAGATGAACAGCGCCTCCTCTGATTTGATCTCCCAACTCGCCTGGGTGCTACGACCTCGGTACTTCTTCACCGGCGGCACCAACTACTTCTGCGAGCGGACGCCCTATCGCAATCACAAAGTGCTCAGCGAGACAGCGCGCAATGTGACCCGCTTCTACTCGATAGCCGACGTGATGAACGCCGAGAAGCTCAAGTGGATCTACGCCTTCAACATTGTGCCCGCCAAGTACTCCACCACCGACGAGCTGCTCGCCCAGCCGCAGGGGGTGACGGAGAATCCGTTCATCAAGGCAGTTCACCAGCGAACCTCTCGCCAGTCCAGCCAACTGGCCGGCGTCACTCAGTTCTTCTTTGCCGTCGACAACGGGGAAGGTGGGAGCGGCGGTGGCGGCGGTGACTTTGGAAAGCGACGCCGAGACAATCGCAATGACAACAACGCTGACAACAGCCGTCCGCCGAGAAAGCAGCTCCGAGTGGACACGGAGACCTGCTGGTTCTGCTTCGCCTCGCCCAACATCGACAAGACGCTGATCGTCTCTATCGGCGACTTCTCCTACCTCGCAGTGGCCAAGGGCGGCCTCACCGATGACCACATGATGATTGTGCCCATCAACCACATTCGCTCGGCCATTGAAATTGAGGAAGCCGGGCTTCGCGATGAGATTGCCCAGTTCAAGGCGGCGCTGGTGAAGTTCTTCAAAACGCGCGACCTGGTGCCTGTTTTCTTTGAGCGCAACTTTCGCTCGGCACACTTTCAGATCAACGTCGTCGGCCTGCCGGTGGCGAAGGCGCCCGCTCTGAAGGCCACTGTGGCGGACGTCTTTGGGAAGCTGGAGTACCACGAACTGCCGCTGGACACTGACTTTGCCGACGTCCTCTCGCCTGGTGCGCCCTACTTTACCTTTGAGTGCCCTGACCACTACAAGTTCATTGTGCGCATCAACACCAAGAAGGACTTTTTCCCCATTCAAATTGGCCGCGAACTGCTCGCCCACGCCGAGCTGCTGAACTGTCCGGAGCGAATCGACTGGAAGAAGTGCGCCTCCAGTCCGGAAGAGGCTGAACAGCTGACGACTCAAATTCGCACCGACTTTAAGCCATTTGACTTTACTGATTAGTCTTAGTATTTTACCTCCACCCCTTTCATCAACTACTACTACTGTTCATCATCACTGTTCATCAACTGTTCTATTAACACTTTCATCAACTGGAGCATTTATTTTTACATTCTGTAAATACTGAGGAGATACACCATACT